CTACTATCCAGCCACCCCTAATCTAGTTGTCTTACTATCCAGCCACCCCTAATCTAGTTGTCTTACTATCCAGCCACCCCTAATCTAGTTGTCTTACTATCCAGCCACCCCTAATCTAGTTGTCTTACTATCCAGCCACCCCTAATCTAGTTGTCTTACTATCCAGCCACCCCTAATCTAGTTGTCTTACTATCCAGCCACCCCTAATCTAGTTGTCTTACTATCCAGCCACCCCTAATCTAGTTGTCTTACTATCCAGCCACCCCTAATCTAGTTGTCTTACTATCCAGCCACCCCTAATCTAGTTGTCTTACTATCCAGCCACCCCTAATCTAGTTGTCTTACTATCCAGCCACCCCTAATCTAGTTGTCTTACTATCCAGCCACCCCTAATCTAGTTGTCTTACTATCCAGCCACCCCTAATCTAGTTGTCTTACTATCCAGCCACCCCTAATCTAGTTGTCTTACTATCCAGCCACCCCTAATCTAGTTGTCCTACTATCCAGCCACCCCTAATCTAGTTGTCTTACTATCCAGCCACCCCTAATCTAGTTGTCTTACTATCCAGCCACCCCTAATCTAGTTGTCTTACTATCCAGCCACCCCTAATCTAGTTGTCTTACTATCCAGCCACCCCTAATCTAGTTGTCTTACTATCCAGCCACCCCTAATCTAGTTGTCTTACTATCCAGCCACCCCTAATCTAGTTGTCTTACTATCCAGCCACCCCTAATCTAGTTGTCTTACTATCCAGCCACCCCTAATCTAGTTGTCTTACTATCCAGCCACCCCTAATCTAGTTGTCTTACTATCCAGCCACCCCTAATCTAGTTGTCTTACTATCCAGCCACCCCTAATCTAGTTGTCTTACTATCCAGCCACCCCTAATCTAGTTGTCTTACTATCCAGCCACCCCTAATCTAGTTGTCTTACTATCCAGCCACCCCTAATCTAGTTGTCTTACTATCCAGCCACCCCTAATCTAGTTGTCTTACTATCCAGCCACCCCTAAACTAGTTGTCCTATTATCCAGCCACCCCTAATGTATTTGTCCTATTATCCAGCCACCCCTAATCTAGTTGTCCTATTATCCAGCCACCCCTAATCTAGTTGTCCTATTATCCAGCCACCCCTAATCTAGTTGTCCTATTATCCAGCCACCCCTAATCTAGTTGTCCTATTATCCAGCCACCCCTAATCTAGTTGTCCTATTATCCAGCCACCCCTAATCTAGTTGTCCTATTATCCAGCCACCCCTAATCTAGTTGTCCTATTATCCAGCCACCCCTAATCTAGTTGTCCTATTATCCAGCCACCCCTAATCTAGTTGTCCTACTATCCAGCCACCCCTAATCTAGTTGTCCTACTATCCAGCCACCCCTAATCTAGTTGTCTTACTATCCAGCCACCCCTAATCTAGTTGTCTTACTATCCAGCCACCCCTAATCTAGTTGTCTTACTATCCAGCCACCCCTAATCTAGTTGTCTTACTATCCAGCCACCCCTAATCTAGTTGTCTTACTATCCAGCCACCCCTAATCTAGTTGTCTTACTATCCAGCCACCCCTAATCTAGTTGTCTTACTATCCAGCCACCCCTAATCTAGTTGTCTTACTATCCAGCCACCCCTAATCTAGTTGTCTTACTATCCAGCCACCCCTAATCTAGTTGTCTTACTATCCAGCCACCCCTAATCTAGTTGTCTTACTATCCAGCCACCCCTAATCTAGTTGTCTTACTATCCAGCCACCCCTAATCTAGTTGTCTTACTATCCAGCCACCCCTAATCTAGTTGTCTTACTATCCAGCCACCCCTAATCTAGTTGTCTTACTATCCAGCCACCCCTAATCTAGTTGTCTTACTATCCAGCCACCCCTAATCTAGTTGTCTTACTATCCAGCCACCCCTAATCTAGTTGTCTTACTATCCAGCCACCCCTAATCTAGTTGTCTTACTATCCAGCCACCCCTAATCTAGTTGTCTTACTATCCAGCCACCCCTAATCTAGTTGTCTTACTATCCAGCCACCCCTAATCTAGTTGTCTTACTATCCAGCCACCCCTAATCTAGTTGTCTTACTATCCAGCCACCCCTAAACTAGTTGTCCTATTATCCAGCCACCCCTAATGTATTTGTCCTATTATCCAGCCACCCCTAATCTAGTTGTCCTATTATCCAGCCACCCCTAATCTAGTTGTCCTATTATCCAGCCACCCCTAATCTAGTTGTCCTATTATCCAGCCACCCCTAATCTAGTTGTCCTATTATCCAGCCACCCCTAATCTAGTTGTCCTATTATCCAGCCACCCCTAATCTAGTTGTCCTATTATCCAGCCACCCCTAATCTAGTTGTCCTATTATCCAGCCACCCCTAATCTAGTTGTCCTATTATCCAGCCACCCCTAATCTAGTTGTCCTACTATCCAGCCACCCCTAATCTAGTTGTCCTACTATCCAGCCACCCCTAATCTAGTTGTCTTACTATCCAGCCACCCCTAATCTAATTGTCTTACTATCCAGCCACCCCTAATCTAGTTGTCTTATTATCCAGCCACCCCTAATCTAGTTGTCCTATTATCCAGCCACCCCTAATCTAGTTGTCCTACTATCCAGCCACCCCTAATCTAGTTGTCCTACTATCCAGCCACCCCTAATCTAGTTGTCCTATTATCCAGCCACCCCTAATCTAGTTGTCCTATTATCCAGCCACCCCTAATCTAGTTGTCCTATTATCCAGCCACCCCTAATCTAGTTGTCCTACTATCCAGCCACCCCTAATCTAGTTGTCCTACTATCCAGCCACCCCTAATCTAGTTGTCCTACTATCCAGTCACCCCTAATCTAGTTGTCCTATTATGCAGCCACCCCTAAACTAGTTGTCCTACTATCCAGCCACCCCTAATCTAGTTGTCCTACTATCCAGCCACCCCTAAACTAGTTGCCCTACTATCCAACCACCCCTAAACTAGTTGTCCTATTATCCAGCCACCCCTAATCTAGTTGTCCTGCTATCCAGCCACCCCTAATCTAGTTGTGCTACTATCCAGCCACCTCTAATCTAGTTTTCTTACTATCCAGCCTCCTCTAATCTAGTTGTCCTACTATCCAGCCAACTCTAATCTAGTTGTCCTATTATCCAGCCCCCCCTAAACTAGTTGTCCTACTATCCAGACACCCCTAATCTAGTTGTCCTACTATCCAGCCAACTCTAATCTAGTTGTCCTATTATCCAGCCCCCCCTAAACTAGTTGTCCTATTATCCAGCCACCCCTAATCTAGTTGTCCTACTATCCAGCCACCTCTAATCTAGTTGTCCTATTATCCAGCCACCTCTAATCTAGTTGTCCTACTATCCAGCCACCTCTAATCTAGTTGTCTTACTATCCAGCCACCTCTAATCTAGTTGTCCTACTATCCAGCCAACTGAATATGATTACATATGTGTTGACACAGTATAACTTCCATAGTATCAACTGGTTCTGACAGTATAAAGAGATGATTTTCGTATGTTGTTACCAGTGATGTATGGGTAAATCATCAGTGTTAAAAGCCTAATTACCTAAAAACAACCTGAATGATAATGTGTGGTAAGTGTTCCTGATCTCACGAATGACCCCCTGGCCAAACTGAGCGAGAAGGTGAGAACCGCATCACCCCACTTACACATTTAGAAAGGTTCAGACCTGCGACTCTGCTGTTTATAATTAAGTCAAGGAAATGTCTGGATCTCCTCCGGGAACACAGGACAGGGATTAGATAGTCAGCAATCACACAACACAACGCTAGGTATCAATAACCAGTATTCATTTAAATAATAACTTGTTTGGACATTTTTATGTGTTTTTTATGAATTGCCAATCAACAAATTCCCTAATGGCTGGTGAGAATTACTGTTATTTCTATGGCAATGATCGGCCTGAGGCTACAACTCCTGTTATTTCTATGGTAATGATCGGCCTGAGGCTACAACTCTTTCCAATTTCTTATGCAACTTTTGTAACCATTAAACTCTCCCGGAGAGCAAAGGTCCCCTTAGGGGGAACATGTAGTAATTTGTTGATAATTAAATGGAGGTAAAGTCTTAATATAGCTGGGAATGTGCCAACGTCGGCTAGAATAACCGTGTTCACCTAGTGGCGTTATTCAGCATTTTTTTGCCCACTGGGAAATGTAAAATGCCACAGCAAGAAAAGAAATCCAAACCCCTATAGAACAATGGTTAAAGGTGTTTCTCGTTAATGGTGGTTTCCTGAAGGTGTTTCTCGTTAATGGTGGTTTCCTGAAGGTGTTTCTCCTGATTTCTTTAAGTTTAGTCCACATATAAAAACTGATCACACACATGAGACAAAATTTCACCAAGGGTCGTCCCGAAATTTGCAATTTCTGTAAAATTATTTATGACCATATTTAAATATCCATTACAAGTTGCTGAGATGACAGACGTCAAACCCAGCATCCTTCTATAAAGATGCTGGGAAAATAAAATCTAATTTTAACCTGAAAAAAGACTACAGAACGTTTCTCTCTAAACAGTGGGAGTAGGTGGGAAAAGGTTCTGACGTGTTGAATAATGAGTAAACAACATAACATCAGTGTATTTGTTGTCATATTTGTTGTCCCGAGATTGAAGATTTCTGTAGATGGCAGGATCATTCCGAGACAAGTATTCTGATTGAAGGTCTAGCATGTGTTTGTGCCAGCCTCCTACAGACACTGGACATCTCGTTCTGTAGCCTGTGGCTAAAATCTGAAATCAGACCAATTTCTTTCAGAAAAAAAGATGGCTTCTAACAAAAGCTGTGAACATAGTCATTAGCAACTGACACACTTGTCATTGTTCATGTAACGGCCTATCATTTCTGTGTCAGTTAGAGCTTGTTTACGAGGCCTTGAAAACCCTGAGATGAATTCATCTCGTCATCAATAAACATCTCGTCATCAATAAACATCTCGTCATCAATAAACCTATAATGACTGTATGATGTTTGTGCTTTCTAGGTGCTGCGAGAAGGGGGATGAGTGCAGTGTCAGAAGTAGGGGAGACAACCAACCGACACGAGGCGCTACCCACCACAGACACCAACACCAAGCTGGTTCTGTCCGGCGGGGAAGGATACGTCGACTTCAGGATCGGTAAGTTCCCTCCAATCTAGATTCACTCATTCTTGGATGTATGTTGTTTTGAATTGAATATTTTTTTCTTGGAAGGGAGGGGGGGGATATTTTATTATAATTTCATGGACAAAAACAAACAAAATTGATTGATCAGATTGAGATATTTATTTCGTTATGATGAAGTATTTCCATAACAGAGTTGGTCACACAGCATTGTAAGGGTGTTTATATTCACTTTCCTTCCTCAGGCGATGGTGATGATGAGGAGTTTATTGACGAGGAAAAGAAGGTCTCGCTCAGTAAAGGAGACAGGAGCCATCTTATAGTGTGGGAGGTAACAAGTACAGAGTGATGCCATCAGTCTCCATGACACCAAGTGATGACGTCAGTCTCCATAGCAACAAGGTGATGTCATAAGTCTCCATTGCAACTATGATGTCACAGTCTCTATGGCAACAGTATTGCATCAGTGATGTCATCAGTCTCCTTGAACAGTGAGGTCACCGTTTAATCTCCTTGACAACAGTGATGTCTCCTGTCTCCATGGCAACAGTGTTGTCGGTCTCCTGCAACAGTCAGGACATCATTCTTGGTGACAACAACAATGTTATCAGTCACCATGACAACAGAGGTTAAATAATTGTTTGTGATTATGTCATTGTCATGACAAAGAAGAAGGTAGACCGTGACCTTTGCACTTACACAATCACCAATCAACACAGTTTAGGAACAGCTTCTAATGCTGTCAGAAGTTGCCTTGATAATATTTAGACTCCGAGTGTTGATAATGTGTAAATATATGAACAATCACCATGGCAACTGATGGAATAGATTTCATTAAATCTCACGACATCGTGGAATATTTCTCGCCATCCTGATCAAACCTGCGGGACTGTCTTCATGGTTCTGTATCCAAGGAATGTAACAGTCTTGTTACCTAGTAATATGATATTTCATAGTTGAATGAGAGTCCAACTTTTGTAGCAGACAAACTGCAGATCAGTTTTACCAGTACTACACAGCTTTACGTATCGCGATCCTTTCATGATCATAACGTTTTAAAATCTGTGTCTGGCTAACACATTTGACATCAGAAAAACAAATCAACATGATACACCGTATTATCATAGAAACAACACAGTGAACATGTTGCTTACAGTGAAATGTTATTCTGAAATATTCCTTGTTACTGATAGTAACAGTGTAACTTTCAGTGAAATGTTATTCTGAAATATTCCTTGTTACTGTTAGTAACAATATAACTTTCAATGAAATGTTATTCTGAAATATTCTTTGTTACTGATAGTAACAATGTAACTTTCAGTGAAATGTTATTCTGAAATATTCCTTGTTACTGATAGTAACAGTGTAACTTTCAGTGAAATGTTATTCTGAAATATTCCTTGTTACTGATAGTAACAATATAACTTTCAGTGAAATGTTACTTGAAGTAGCAGTAAAACAAATGTGATTAAATCACATTTCTATGAGTAAATTCTTTGTGTCACACCTGACCTGTTCCCTGTTTTGACATTTTGGGACCAGGGACTTTAACATTTGTCAAGTATCCTCACAAAAACCTTAAGACTTTGTTAATCTAGGTTTATTTTGTGAACCTTATTTCGAATACGTTTTTCAAATGTCATTATTGTTTACATCTAATTTAGTTTGATAAGACATAATTGGGTTTTCTTTGTAAGATATTTCTTATTTAAACACCAAGAGAATTTTTTAGTGTTTCCCTGATTACGAATAGATGTTCCATTGACTGACATTCTGGAAATAATTACCATATTTAAGAAGAAAATACAGGGAGGGATAATGTTTGGAGATAGCTTGCTAATGAAAGCTTGTATTCTGTCACTTGTTCACCCATCATACAGCCAAATAGTCACCAACTAGCTGTAACGTCATGGTGGGTGGTGTGAATCCTCTGTTGATGACGGGCATCACGAGGTATCCTCCGGCCCAGTGATTTGTGTAATTCCTAATATACACCAAATTGCTTTTAAGGATGAAGGCAGATAAGCTTGTAGTTAATCGCTGCTGCAGTCAGGGTCACTTGGAGAGACAAGGATTAACCTACAGTAATCAGTGGTCAGTCAGCGCTACTTACACACGGCTCAAACACTACCGCACTGTGATTTAATGAATGGTTAGCTGTACAGACCTGGCTAGTAGCTGATTGGCTGTACAGACCTGGCTAGTAGCTGATTGGCTGTACAGACCTGGCTAGTAGCTGATCTGCTGTACAGACCTGGCTAGTAGCTGATCTGCTGTACAGACCTGGCTAGTAGCTGATCTGCTGTACAGACCTGGCTAGTAGCTGTTCGGCTGTACAGACCTGGCTAGTAGCTGATCGGCTGTACAGACCTGGCTAGTAGCTGATCGGCTGTACAGACCTGGCTAGTAGCTGATCTGCTGTACAGACCTGGCTAGTAGCTGATCGGCTGTACAGACCTGGCTAGTAGCTGATCTGCTGTACAGACCTGGCTAGTAGCTGATCGGCTGTACAGACCTGGCTAGTAGCTGATTGGCTGTACAGACCTGGCTAGTAGCTGATTGGGTGAACATACATATAGCTAATAGCTGATTGGATGAACTTGGCTGTGTTTGGCTGACTACACACATGAATCTGTTAAAGTGTTATTGTTTGCATAAGTAAAGATGCAATAAAAAAAACTGCTGTTTATATTTTATTTGATCTACGACAAAAACAGCTTATTAACACGTCATATTTATGAAAAAAAAGTTCATATTGAAAAGTATTTCCAAAGTACAATTTCTTAATGGGTTGGATACAGTTTATACATATTAAATACGATAAATACTCTATGTATTCTTATTGGGAGTTTTGAATAAAAATAAAATAAAAAAATTAATCCTATTTAGTATCAAGTATTGTACTACACTGATGTGTGTAGGAGTAGATAGAATAAAAAGTTGTAGAATTTTAATTTAAGCTCATTATTTTTAAAATTATTTTACTCTTTGTTATCCTTTCATAGGGAATGTTGTTAGTTTTCCCAGATTTTACCCATTTTAATTTTGTTTTATGTTTGTGTACTGTATGGGCTGATGCTCTGTCGACTGAGGAATGGTTGTATAAGGGTAGGCCATTGTATAGTTAACGTGGTTCCAGCCTTCAGTTTGTTTGTATGAAAGTATTCTTGTGAAAAAGTGTTACAAGTAATTCACATTTAATCTGGTCCGACTCTGATAACTTGGAATAACCTAAAGCTTCATTTTCCCAGAATAAAAATTTTGCTGCTTTTTTTGTTACTACTTTGAACTGTTGTAGATCTCAAATTTCTTGTAGCATTTCAGAAAATCATTAGATTTAATTTTTCTTTCTGTAAATGTCATCCTCAGCACAGTTTTCATTTCCTGTTTGTTTGAGGTCTAATCTGTCAGACCGACACACAGTAGATTGAAATGCTATAAAGAAGTTCATGTGGGTGAAGGGAGAGGGAACTTGTGGCTAGATAAAGTAGGTTTGTGTGGGTGAGGGGAGAGGGAACCTGTGGCTAGATAAAGTAGGTTTAACCATTGCAAACACGTACAGTTCAGGAATTGTCAACATGTTGCCATTTTCTCTGGGCGGTCATTATGGTTTTTCATTTCCTGAAGGATTGTAGGTCTCTAGATGTCACAATAGTGAAGTAGTTATTCCAGACTTCAACAGAAAACATCAAATCCTCATTTAGTGTTCAACAAAAGTGTGAGACCAGCCTCAGACAAGGTGGAACCCAACAAAGTTATAGAGCGACAAGATTACCACAGAGCTTGGTCCATTAATTCCACCAATCTGATAAACAATTAGGTTTCTGTCCTTACATAAATGGAGTCAAATTAACAAAGTCTTTAACCCTTTCACCGCTGTAGACCATAATGGACTCATCCAGATCAATGTATGGTAGAGTCTACTAAAGCTACATAGGGGTGAAAGGGTAAAATTAGATAAATAGGGAATTTGTTCTGTTTGTGTAAAGCTTTTACACTTACAATGGAAACAGTGTTTAGGGGGCTTGTTCTTGTTTTAACAAAATCAGTAATTAGAATAACAGAGATTAAAGTTGAAATCATAAATCTGTTAAAATATATTTGTAAACCTTCATTTAAAGTGGGAATAATGAGACTAAGGTTAAGAGGTCATAGAAATTTAGGGTTAGAGGTCACAAGGTCAGCCATCTTGATCTCCTACCTTTGAAGTTGGTGCTCCCAAAAAAAAACCTGTAATTTGTGTTAAATGGAATTTCTTTTCTTTTTATTGAACGCGTAGCAAAACAGACTTATTTCAAAAGAAAACTGGAGAATTTAGAAATTTGTAAGTACTATTTTACATATGCTAACTTTAAACATAAAATGTTTATTTCCAGAGTTCTTCTTTAACTATAATTTATTTCTAGACGATAATCAATAACTTCTTTTCAATCTCAAGGCTATACCAGTATTATCAGAGACAGAAAAATCCTAACTTTGTCGAGAGGGTTATCAAATTATCACTTCATATCTTCACACGAAACTTGTGGCAGTGACAGCCAGAGGCGGAGCTAGGGAAGGTCAAATATGTGTTTGTCAATCTTGGCTGAAATCTATTGAGCCATGGTCAGTTGAATCATCCATGTCTCCTATTTAATTTGGACACTTAATGGCAGGTTTTGTTACGACTCGCACACAGTTTGGGCACTTAGGAGCAGGTTTTGTATGAGTTCTATCACATTTGGTGACAGAAAATGGACTGGCACTTTTCTTACCCTACAAAATAATAACATACCTCTGTGACCGACATTAGTAATCTGACATACATTAATTAGGACCAAATATTGGAGGACATGGGGCTAAGTGATTGGTATATCCATCTAAAATGTGGGTTTGGAGTGCTTTTTAACAATCTGATGTCTTGGTACAAACTATTTAAAATGCATAATTTCCTTATTTCTGTAGAAATTCTTGAAAACCTCAACTTATGCTACACTAAACAATAAATGATTGGGAAAGTCACATAGTCACACACAATTTCTCTCTGTCCAGCAATCAGTGATAACACAATCGGGAAATTAAATTAGAAGTTAAACATTATTTTTGAAGGTGTAAAAGACCCATTATTATTTGCCTATCCATGGTTTGTATGTTTACCACCATAGACTGACTTTTTTCTGAATTTTGAAGGAAATTTATTTATAGGCGTATCTTATAAGGCTAGGTTCCCAGAAATTGTTATCGCAGACTGGAAAGGACAAGCCCCTGTTGTTGTCTTGTAATGATGAAGGTATTTATCTCCCCGATATTGACAGATTGCATGACAGACAGGAAGTCAGAAAGGAAACAACGTTGTGTAACCTGTTAAATTAGGGCTTCGACAACAGGAACAAGGATCAAGCCACACGGCTCTGACAGAAGTCATCAGGAACCCGTATTAATTATTTCATTATAAAAAGTCTCTAAACACCACATCCTGAATAAATTGGTGCTGGTTTGCATTTTCCAGAACAAATGGGATTTGCTCTCCGATGCCTGTGGGTTTTTTAAATTTTTAACCAGTGATTAAGTGGATATCGCTGGTCATCCATTTTGTTTTATTTTGAGTGAGGGAGTGGAAATCGCTTGTTATGTGTTTGTTTATTTTTGACTGAGAGGGTGGAAATCAAAGGTTATCCGTTTAGCCCTGAGCAGTTTGAGTTTGTCCCAAGAAGCATATTTTTTCCCTGCTACGTTTTATATGTGACCATCCAAGTTTTTAATGTTATTTATCTTGTTATTTTATCGATCCCTATGATATTGTTTTGTATTATGTTTTAAATTTTTGTATATGTTGAATATTGTTTGTACTTAGTATTTGACATAATGCCATAGTTCAAATCAATTTCTTTTTTCCCCAATGAACACAGTGCCAGTTACCACTGTGTGTTTAAGATGCCCGCATGTAATTTCTTATGAATCTAGGATTCTGTTATGTCGAATGAAGATTCAATATGTTGTATTAAGATATTTAAATGCCATGAATTAATGATAGATTCATGACTTTGAAGAGATGTGTTCATTATTTTAAAACAAAGACTTTCATCCTGGTGAGAAACGAATGAATGAAAATTACCTTGACGATGAAATAATCACAAAGATCCATGTACATTTAATACATGTATATATAGCTGGAAAGTAATACAGTATAGTATCACGCTCATCATCAAAATATTCACATCTCATTATCACGGCTGTTACGATTGAGATATATATATATGTAAAGATTACTCTCATGTTCCAAGTGTATGATATCCTGCTTGCTAATGTTATTTATGTCTTTAACTCAGCAAAGTCTTTACATCCTTGTAGCCACATTTACAGCCCAAATCCCTTGTATGACTGGGAGATTATATGTATATTTAGATAAAAAAATAAAAACCTTTTTTTCTTTCAAATATTTCCAATGTAATCAGGGAACTTGAATATAGAATGTATATATTCTTATTAAGATATTTCTCCAACTCCTAATTCACCCAACAATCTGGTTCGGTAATGTCTCATACAGTAAGATTATTTGATCTCAAATCAGGAGTAAAACCTTCAACCACATTTTGTTATCATTGGTGGGTTGTGATTGGTTAATATATCTACCAATCAGATTGTCTGTAAGGTGAATTGGGGGCCTGGAATGATGAACCTGAATCTCATCTTATTAATAAAACCATAGTAAGATATGTAAAGGGAACGATTATAGAATTACACCTAATCTGGGTCAAGGTTTGTTATAAAGGTATTTACAAGGATAAGGTTGACTGCGTATCCTAGTGTTTGCTGTGTAAGGAAGCAAGGTTGCCTTAAATGTTATGCGCCACTTTAAAATGTACAATAAATCAAATAAAAGGCAATGGAAATTTTAATTTGCAAGTTTGTTGTTATTTGTAAAAGCAACAGAAAATTCACCTACTAGTAATTGTTTATAAATCTTTTTCTCGCACCTCTTACTCCAAATAACAGTCCAACGCATCAGTAACAAGGCAGTGTAGCCTCGTATATATCGTAGAGAACGTGCATAGAAGTATAAACATTTAGATAGAGCAGAAGAGTTTGACCTGAAATGTTAAGAAGCATGAAAGACCTTCAAGGTAAGCTGTTGCATACAACAAGATTGTCATCGACGTATTATTGAAAACCAGAAATCTAGCAGCAGTCTACCACCTTGTATCTTGACAGATAAACGAAAGTCACACACAGGTGATTGTAACAATACAGTCACATACAGGTGATTGTAACAATACAGTCACACACAGGTGATTGTAACAATACAGTCACACACAGGTGATTGTAACAATACAGTCACATACAGGTGATTGTAACAATAAAATCTGGTGATAGATATACAGGATGACAAAATGAATTACGTGTACAACAATAAAATCTGGGGATAGATATACAGGATGACAATGAATTACGTGTACAACAATAAAATCTGGTGATAGATATACAGGATGACAGTAAATTACGTGTACTACAATAAAATCTGGTGATAGATAAACAGGATGACAATGAATTACGTGTACAACAATAAAATCTGGTGATAGATATACAGGATGACAATGAATTACGTGTACAACAATAAAATCTGGTAATAGATATACAGGATGACTAATGAATTACGTGTACAACAATAAAATCTGGTGATAGATATACAGGATGGTAATAGATATACAGGATGACTAATGAATTACGTGTACAACAATATAATATGGTGATAGATATACAGGATGACAATGAATTACGTGTACAACACTAAAATCTGGTGATAGATATACAGGATGACTAATGAATTACGTGTACAACAATATAATCTGGTGATAGATATACAGGATGACAAAATGAATTACATGTACAACAATAAAATCTGGTGATAGATATACAGGATGACAAAATGAATAACGTGTACAACAATAAAATCTGGTGATAGATATACAGGATGACAATGAATTACGTGTACAACAATAAAATCTGGTGATAGATATACAGGATGACAATGAATTACGTGTACAACAATAAAATCTGGTGATAGATATACAGGATGACAATGAATTACGTGTACAACAATAAAATCTGGTGATAGATATACAGGATGACAATGAATTACGTGTACAACAATAAAATCTGGTGATAGATATACAGGATGACAATGAATTACGTGTACAACAATAAAATCTGGTGATAGATATACAGGATGACAATGAATTACGTGTACAACAATAAAATCTGGTGATAGATATACAGGATGACAATGAATTACGTGTACAACAATAAAATCTGGTGATAGATATACAGGATGACAATGAATTACGTGTACAACAATAAAATCTGGTGATAGATATACAGGATGACAATGAATTACGTGTACAACAATAAAATCTGGTGATAGATATACAGGATGACAATGAATTACGTGTACAACAATAAAATCTGGTGATAGATATACAGGATGACAATGAATTACGTGTACAACAATAAAATCTGGTGATAGATATACAGGATGACAATGAATTACGTGTACAACAATAAAATCTGGTGATAGATATACAGGATGACAATGAATTACGTGTACAACAATAAAATCTGGTGATAGATATACAGGATGACAATGAATTACGTGTACAACAATAAAATCTGGTGATAGATATACAGGATGACAATGAATTACGTGTACAACAATAAAATCTGGTGATAGATATACAGGATGACAATGAATTACGTGTACAACAATAAAATCTGGTGATAGATATACAGGATGACAATGAATTACGTGTACAACAATAAAATCTGGTGATAGATATACAGGATGACAATGAATTACGTGTACAACAATAAAATCTGGTGATAGATATACAGGATGACAATGAATTACGTGTACAACAATAAAATCTGGTGATAGATATACAGGATGACAATGAATTACGTGTACAACAATAAAATCTGGTGATAGATATACAGGATGACAATGAATTACGTGTACAACAATAAAATCTGGTGATAGATATACAGGATGACAATGAATTACGTGTACAACAATAAAATCTGGTGATAGATATACAGGATGACAATGAATTACGTGTACAACAATAAAATCTGGTGATAGATATACAGGATGACAATGAATTACGTGTACAACAATAAAATCTGGTGATAGATATACAGGATGACAATGAATTACGTGTACAACAATAAAATCTGGTGATAGATATACAGGATGACAATGAATTACGTGTACAACAATAAAATCTGGTGATAGATATACAGGATGACAATGAATTACGTGTACAACAATAAAATCTGGTGATAGATATACAGGATGACAATGAATTACGTGTACAACAATAAAATCTGGTGATAGATATACAGGATGACAATGAATTACGTGTACAACAATAAAATCTGGTGATAGATATACAGGATGACAATGAATTACGTGTACAACAATAAAATCTGGTGATAGATATACAGGATGACAATGAATTACGTGTACAACAATAAAATCTGGTGATAGATATACAGGATGACAATGAATTACGTGTACAACAATAAAATCTGGTGATAGATATACAGGATGACAATGAATTACGTGTACAACAATAAAATCTGGTGATAGATATACAGGATGACAATGAATTACGTGTACAACAATAAAATCTGGTGATAGATATACAGGATGACAATGAATTACGTGTACAACAATAAAATCTGGTGATAGATATACAGGATGACAATGAATTACGTGTACAACAATAAAATCTGGTGATAGATATACAGGATGACAATGAATTACGTGTACAACAATAAAATCTGGTGATAGATATACAGGATGACAATGAATTACGTGTACAACAATAAAATCTGGTGATAGATATACAGGATGACAATGAATTACGTGTACAACAATAAAATCTGGTGATAGATATACAGGATGACAATGAATTACGTGTACAACAATAAAATCTGGTGATAGATATACAGGATGACAATGAATTACGTGTACAACAATAAAATCTGGTGATAGATATACAGGATGACAATGAATTACGTGTACAACAATAAAATCTGGTGATAGATATACAGGATGACAATGAATTACGTGTACAACAATAAAATCTGGTGATAGATATACAGGATGACAATGAATTACGTGTACAACAATAAAATCTGGTGATAGATATACAGGATGACAATGAATTACGTGTACAACAATAAAATCTGGTGATAGATATACAGGATGACAATGAATTACGTGTACAACAATAAAATCTGGTGATAGATATACAGGATGACAATGAATTACGTGTACAACAATAAAATCTGGTGATAGATATACAGGATGACAATGAATTACGTGTACAACAATAAAATCTGGTGATAGATATACAGGATGACAATGAATTACGTGTACAACAATAAAATCTGGTGATAGATATACAGGATGACAATGAATTACGTGTACAACAATAAAATCTGGTGATAGATATACAGGATGACAATGAATTACGTGTACAACAATAAAATCTGGTGATAGATATACAGGATGACAATGAATTACGTGTACAACAATAAAATCTGGTGATAGATATACAGGATGACAATGAATTACGTGTACAACAATAAAATCTGGTGATAGATATACAGGATGACAATGAATTACGTGTACAACAATAAAATCTGGTGATAGATATACAGGATGACAATGAATTACGTGTACAACAATAAAATCTGGTGATAGATATACAGGATGACAATGAATTACGTGTACAACAATAAAATCTGGTGATAGATATACAGGATGACAATGAATTACGTGTACAACAATAAAATCTGGTGATAGATATACAGGATGACAATGAATTACGTGTACAACAATAAAATCTGGTGATAGATATACAGGATGACAATGAATTACGTGTACAACAATAAAATCTGGTGATAGATATACAGGATGACAATGAATTACGTGTACAACAATAAAATCTGGTGATAGATATACAGGATGACAATGAATTACGTGTACAACAATAAAATCTGGTGATAGATATACAGGATGACAATGAATTACGTGTACAACAATAAAATCTGGTGATAGATATACAGGATGACAATGAATTACGTGTACAACAATAAAATCTGGTGATAGATATACAGGATGACAATGAATTACGTGTACAACAATAAAATCTGGTGATAGATATACAGGATGACAATGAATTACGTGTACAACAATAAAATCTGGTGATAGATATACAGGATGACAATGAATTACGTGTACAACAATAAAATCTGGTGATAGATATACAGGATGACAATGAATTACGTGTACAACAATAAAATCTGGTGATAGATATACAGGATGACAATGAATTACGTGTACAACAATAAAATCTGGTGATAGATATACAGGATGACAATGAATTACGTGTACAACAATAAAATCTGGTGATAGATATACAGGATGACAATGAATTACGTGTACAACAATAAAATCTGGTGATAGATATACAGGATGACAATGAATTACGTGTACAACAATAAAATCTGGTGATAGATATACAGGATGACAATGAATTACGTGTACAACAATAAAATCTGGTGATAGATATACAGGATGACAATGAATTACGTGTACAACAATAAAATCTGGTGATAGATATACAGGATGACAATGAATTACGTGTACAACAATAAAATCTGGTGATAGATATACAGGATGACAAAATGAATTACGTGTACAACAATAAAATCTGGTGATAGATATACAGGATGAAAATGAATTACGTGTACAACAATAAAATCTGGTGATAGATATACAGGATGACAAAATGAATTACGTGTACAACAATAAAATCTGGTGATAGATATA